AAAACCTCCTTTCAAAAAAAAAAAAAAAAAAAAAAAGGAACTCACTCTTTCAATTGGTTTTAAAGAAGAAAACACACTTTCATATTGTCAGAATATGAAATATATAGGAAGCTTCAAAGTTTTACACAGTTGTAAAGAAAGAAGTGGTTTAGAAAATGATTTTTAATTCAACAGCTATTTATAACATTAACACTGTTATAGGACCCTGCATGAAAGCACTAGGAAGCTCTGCAGGTAATGGTACAGCCACACGTACATTCACATCAAAGCTGATTAAAATAAAACTTTCTCACCAAATATATTCCTTCGTGCAGATGTCTAGTTAGTTGTTTCAACAAAAGTATTCTGCATACACCTACAAGAAAAGTAGAAGGTTAATGACATCTTATGGAACAGTGCTACTGTCACATACCTGCCATGGGAGTATGGTGGGAATCATAAATACAAAGCCCCACGGTAGGGGAGAAACACGCTCGGCATGGCCTTAAGATGCCAAAATTTTATGAGATTCATCTCACCAAAACACCGATTCCTTCTGTGTCCTTGGGCAACGGAGATAATTTTACTTGGTCCATATGCTGTCATGAGAATTACTACAAAGCGCGGTAATCGATGTTAAGACACAACCTCTCCTTAACGAGTCTGCAGTTCTTGGAGAGCAATTTGTGTAAAATTTTAGCCTTCCATTGAGAAGTGGGCTCTAACCATTACAGACGTGCATGCAACTTCCCAGGCTTCAGATGATGCTCTTGATGTCTTCCTGACTTTACAGACAAAAAGCCCTACTGTTTCAGCACAGCAAACCTGGCCCAAGCAGCAGCCAGTAAAAACTGGCTTGTTTCAATGCCACTACTCAGATATTTGCAGGCAGCAACGAAACTACCCAAGGACGGGGCCAATTTCAGTTGGCAGCATAACGCTGCTCCAGAAGGCTGCAGCAGCAGACAGCGCTGGAACTATTCTCCTGACAGAACGGGAAACAAACCGATCGCCTCGTCTTAGTCCATCACGAAAAAATTACCTTCCTTCTGCCCACCAGCTATGCAGTTAGAAAACTTGCCTACAGAGCTGATGGGAAAAAAACCCACCAACCCCTTGCCACGTGCACGGCTCTCCTTCCCCTCTTTTAGTGGCTGCAGCAGATTTCAAAATGAACCTGATGTCTTTCATGTACATGAAAAAGTATCATCCCTAAAAATAATTTTAAGAAATACATTTTGGAAAGAGTAACAGTGCTCTACTCTCCAAATTAAACAACGAAATAAGCATGAAGCCAAAAAGGTAATCCCACCCATGGCTGCTCTTCAGCGTACTGCTTCAAGCTGCACAAGCAACCCCTGACTATTAGCTTCCCTGCTTTACACCTTGGATTCGGGCTTGCAACACGTTAGGAGTAAGCGTGCTCAGTGCTGTTAGTTCGCTCAGACATAACCCTCAGAGCACAGCCGATACGGAAATGTGTTTTTCAGTTAGTTAATGCAAGGGGGACAGTTGACTGAGCTTCTGCAAGAAGAAAGAGTCGATGCTGACAGTGCTGAAGTAAAAAAAAAACAAATCCAGGCACGCAGAAAGCGTGTAGCTAAAAACCAAGAGCATAGCTGACATTTCAACAAGCCTTCTGTTTAAAAGCCAAGTTTCAAAATTCAGATTCATATACAAAGCAGGACTGGCTTGGAAGCAAGCATACCCGTTTCAGAAGAAAAGAGACACAGTTTTCAGGGAAAAACTATAGCAAATTGATCAGAAGTTTCCAGGTGTGAACCACAGCTTACTTTTAAACCTGTAGCAGGGTGGGCTACAAACTCCCCCACCCCCCAAAAGATACCAAGTCTGCCATAAGAAATATAAACAACAGGCTCACAGCATGCAGGGTTCAGCACACAGCTGGGAAGGTAATGCAACATATCTGTATTAAAAAACAAACATACACACGCCACAATTAAAGGCAAAAAAAGAAGGCATATCTCCTAAAAAAAAAAAACAAACAAAAAAACAAACCACAACACAAAACAAACCCTGACCTCTGCCCGGGACATTACAGCATCGTATCTGCCTATAAGAGAATCCAGCATTTCTCCATCACGCTCAACTGAAGCACAGATCAGGCTGCAGAAGAGGCTCTAGGGAACACCTGATGTTGGCAATCAAATTTTCTCTGAAGCAAGGATGCGCAAGATACCAAATCAGAGGCGGCAGGAACCCAAATTCCCCTTTTCTAGTCCTCCAAAACTGGTTTCTAGAAATTACATGGTAAATTCCAGTAAGGCATAGGGCACAGCTTCAGAAACACCAAGGACTTGCTCCATTTTACCAGTCCTGTCAGCCTCCGCCTCCTGCTAGCTCAGCTTTCCAAAGCAGAGCCTTCCCCATTTCTTCTAATGCTTTCCCAGTGCCTGAGCTCCACACCCGCCTCAGCTCTCCTTTTCCACGAGGCCTACAAAGACAAATCCGGACAGTGCCTAACAGCCAGAGAGATAAAGCAGCTGCTGAACTTCCTTGCCACCCCTGCTAATGAGATAATGAACCTTTTCCCTAGCGTCCACCATCCTGTTTGTTGGCTCCTGTCTCACATTCAGACCTGTTCACTTGCCGGACAAGGACCGCTTTTTGGTTTGCGCTTTTGCAACACAGTCCATTTCTACACTGAGGCAGCAACACCAACTCTACTGAATGTTTAACCACAGCTTAACAGAAAACTTAAAAAAAAAGTATGTATAGTATTTACTGAACAGTCTTAAAACTGATGTGCATACAAACTAGTATTTGTGTCCCAAATTAAGCTATCTTGTATGTACTCTTCCAAAGACATGCTGCCCGAAGCAATGCTCTGGACACACTGAAGCATGCTACGTGCACTTGGTATTTATCTTCCTTACGGAGTGACATCCTGATTCAGAGTTCTCATTTTCAGCCCGGTTAAACAAGCAGAAGGAAGCATTTAATTGCATCCGCAGAGGCTGTCTATGAGCTTCGCACAATGACCAGAACCAGCTGCACGGCTAAAATAACTTGGATTTATTTTCAGGCCACACCACATAAACGCCTAGGCTAGGTGAATGCCGAAAGCTAAGCTGCTCCCAAGCAGTTTACAAAAAACTCTTTCAGATTCTGCTCCGTCAAGCAGGACTTGAGGGAAATGGGTGAAATAAAGAGCGGGTTACTACAGGAAACATCCGAGTACAGCAAAGTTTAAAAAGAAAAACAGAAAACCCGAAACAAAGCTTCTCCTGGTACAGAGAAGTTCACGGGGGAGAACAAGACCAGCCAGGAGCGAGGCCAAGGCGAGCACGGCTTCCTCAGCTGCCCTCCCGGGTAGGCGGGAGGCGCTCCGCCATGGACGCGGGGAGCACGGCGCCCGGCCCAAGGAGGCCGGTAGCGGCAGGACGCGG